ATCCTCGGACCAACATTGTTTCTCATCTACATTAACGACATAGTCTTTAACTTTCCCGAAATCTCTTTCTCTATTTTTGCTGATGACACTAGCATTATCATCAGCGGCCATTCAGTTGATGACCTCACCTCAAAATCACAAAGTGCGATGGACGGTATAGCAGACTGGTTTTCAGCGAATAAGTTATCATTGAATATATCTAAGACTCTACAGATACTGTTTGACCCTTATAGAAATTTCCAAGATGTTGAGGTAACTCTGAACGATGAAGCAATCTCTTCGAACGAACCAACTAAATTTCTAGGGATCACTATTGATATGGAACTAAATTGGATGGAACACATAAAGCAGCTGAATACCAAACTGAACAGAGCAACTTTTGCATTGCGAACTGTCCAAGCGAACACAAACTTTCAAGTCTCGAAAATGGTATATTTCGCATATTTTTACAGCCTGATGCAATACGGAATAGAATTCTGGGGTAATTCTGTAGGTTCCCAAACCACGTTTATAATTCAAAAACGAGCCATCCGTACTTTGTTCAAATTGAACTATCGAGAATCTTGTAGAGAGTGTTTCCTTGAAAATAAGATATTTACTTTGACAAACACATTCATATTCAAACTTGCCCTTCTGATCCATAAAAAACGTGATGTTCTTCAACATTCAGATCATCGTCACCAGTACATGACAAGAACCCATAAAATAAAATTGCCCAACTACAGGTATGAAAAAACTCGTTATGGACCCCTGTACACGGGAATAAAAATTTATAACCATTTGCCCCCTTACATGAAGGAACTATCAATAAGAAAATTCAAACACTCACTGAAGGATTTATTGCACCACCATGTATGTTATGATTTAAATGAATTTTTCGCAATACCGCTCCCGCAGTCATAAAAAGAATGTCCATCCTCTAGTTTTTAAGTTTTCAAATGTATAGAGCTTAGACTTTTTTTCATTATCAAATAATTTTGTTAAATGACACTAATCTTTCCTTATGCCAATGGCTAAATGTACACTTGTTCTGTGTATATTGGAAATAAATGTACTTACTTACTTACTTACTTACTTACTATTCTCCTTCTCGCAGACGTATTTGAACAGTTTCGTACCAGCTGCCTCAGAACTTACAATCTTGACCTCGCACACTATTACACCCTGCCAGGATTCACTTGGGATGCCATGTTGAAATATACGAATCAGGAGTTGGAACTAATCACTGACCCTGGCATGTTTTTGTTTGTTGAGCAAGGCATCCGAGGAGGTCTCAGTCAAGTTTGTTCAAAAAGAAGAGCTCATGCAAACAATAAATATATTCCTGATTATGATCCTTCGAAAGCCGATTCCTTCTTGATGTACTATGACGTCAATAACCAATACGGATGGGCTATGTCTCAAGCTTTACCATATGGAGATTTTGAATGGACTGACACCAATATCGACGTCACGGCTATTCCCGATGATGCAGAAGAAGGATATATTTTAGAAGTCGATTTGTATTATCCACAACACCTCCACGATGTACATAAAGATATTCCATTTTGTCCTCAACACATCAATCCTAAGACTGGAAAGCCTCCCAAATCTGTACGAGAACACGCCAAATTGATGGCAACCCTACGCTACAAGGAGAAGTATGTCATTCACTACCGAGCCCTAAAACAGGCGTTGGAACATGGTTTAGTGCTGAAACAGATACATCGAGTTCTCAAGTTCCGGCAAGCTACGTGGTTGAGATCATACATAGACCTAAACACTGAACTCCGAAGACAAGCAAAAAATGAGTTTGAGAAGAATCTGTTCAAGCACATGAACAACGCTGTTTTTGGTAAGACAATGGAAAACATTAGGAAGAGAGTTAATGACAGACTTTTGACAGAGTGGGTGGGAAGATATGGTGCTGAGGCGTACATTTCAAAACCCGAGTTCAAGAATTGTACAGTCTTCAATGAAAATTTGATTGCTATAGAAATGACAAAACTGGAAATCTATCTTAACAAACTCATTTATGTTGGTCAAGCTATTTCAGATTTAGCTAAGACAACATTATATGACTTTCACCACGACTATATGTTCAACACATTTCGTGATTGCTCCGTTCTCTACACTGATACTGACAGCTTGATTCATGAGATTGTTGGTCAAGATCCATATGAGGTTATGAAGAAGGACTGTCATCAGCGCTTCGATACCTCCGACTATAAATCGAATAACATTTATAATATTCCCCAAGTCAATAAGAAAGTGCTGGGAATGTTGAAAGATGAGCAAAACGGAGAACCGATGATCGACTACGTTAGTCTGAGATCAAAACTCTACTCAACTAGAATTCTTACTACGATTGATGACATTATGAGTAAACGAGAAGAACTGATGCATGAAGGATATGATGATTTTGAAATTGATGATATTCTGAGGAATTTTGGTATAACGAAAAAGGGTAAGGGTATGAAGTCGTCTGTTGTGAAGACATCAATTACCTTCACTGATTATGTTGAGTGTTTGGATAATTGGAAGGAAAAAACTGTCACTCAGAATTTGATCAAATCAGATAAACATCAAGTTTATTCTATCATACAAAAAAAGATTGCTCTCAGTTCGAATGATGATAAGAGATATATTATTCCAGGAATTGATGAAACGTAACCATGGGGACACTATTCAATCGATGAAGATGTTGTGGAATATGGCTCATAAATTGATGGTGATATCTCGAGAATTATTTTGTTTATATACAGGCTGATTTTAAAATAAGTGCATATATTTCAAACACTAAGAAAGCTTGAGGTATACTACCGAATAACACTATTAAAAATATTATTAGGATCAAAATAGATTTGGGGCAAAATACCCTTTTTCCGCCCAGATTTCTACTTCTGTCACAACTATCGTTTGCGATCCGCAGTCGACCGTGATGAACGAAACGACCATGCCACTCTACATGAAAATTAGGAGATATTGAATAAAATGTATAATCGAGTAAATGTACATGGGGAAGAAGTTAACCCTGGTCTTGAATTTCAGAAAGATAATACAAAAACTTCAAAATGGACTCACCCAAGATTTCTACACATAAGCAAGAATAGCGTATAACTTAACACCTCACGGTTGGGAGTTATTTTACTGAAAAATCCTTTAGACCCTTCCTTCCACCTCCTTGCATCGCTACAATTTCTACATATATTGAAAGTAGTGGATGCATCAAGGAATCCTTGCACGCTTTGAAGATGTAACAGGGGATATTGTCAGGACCCGCCGATCTCTTAGGTTTCAATCTTTTGAACGCCTTCTCTATGTCATCTACAGTTATTTGGTCGAAGTGGATGTTTTGATAGAAAATCAACGGAAGATATTTTGCTTTATTATCAATCTCGGTTGTATCATAAGTAGAATCATTCTCGTATGTTGAACTAAAATAATCTGCAAACTCTCCCGCAACCCAAAATAACGTAGGGTCCCGTTTGATATTGCCCTGTATACTTTCGATATACACCTTATGTGCTCTCCTGATTTCCACTTCAAGTTCAGCCCTAACTCGTTTGTAATTATTGGAATAAAATTCTGAGTCATTTTTCTTTAGTCTGAAGTACTCTTTTACCTTCAAATCACCTTTTATATCATCTGTGAACCAGGGTGGGTATATTTTACGATAACGATTATTTGTTTTATTAGTAATTTTAGGTACCAAGATATCAAGAATTTCGTAGAGAACTTGATAAAAGTAATTGACACTATCATTAACATTTTCGAGATTATTAAGCATTGACCAATCCTGATCTCTCAACATTTCGTACAGCAGTCTGAAATTGGCTTTCTTAAAATTGTATTTGTCATCTAGATTCTTTGTTTCACCACAATATCTATTATTTTTTGTAATATCAAACTCTATCGAGAGTGCCGGATGATAGTGTCTATCTATTTTGATTAATGGCGCCGTGTTCTCCTCTACCCTTACATTGAAATTACTCAAGACCAAATCCAGAGTCCTATCGTCTTCGTTCAAAATGTTATTATGGGAATTCAAACTAAAAGTTTCCATCAACAATGTCATGCTGGCTACTATATCATTCTTATCATTGAATTCAAAGGACGTTTCATCAATTCCCGATATGTTATAGTCACCAAGAAGTAAAATTAAAGTATTTGGACCGGTATGGGAGTTTAACTCATCGAATAAGTCAGTATAATTTTTTTTTTATATATACCGATGATTTCGATTGCGGTGGAATATAAGTAGCATTTATAATCAATGAGTTGCCTGAGAAATTCAGTTTCACAAATAGTGTTTCCAAAAATGTTTCCAAGTAAATATGAGAGGAGTTGAACTTATTATTAACAGCTATTGCTACACCCCCTCCGCGTTTTTTATTTGTTTCACGTAAGTCCCTGTCTTTCCTGTAAACTGTGTAATTGTTATCAAATAACTCACCATCACCGATATCCCCCGAAAGCCAAGTTTCTGTCAAGACAACAATATCATAAGATTCAGCTAATAGATTATATTTAAACTCTGTAGATTTTGTGCGAAGACCCCTACAATTCTGATAGTAAACATTTAGTTTCATTTAATTAGTACCTTAGTATTTTAAATTCTTTCAGATGACTATGTATTATGAAAGCACTTTATACACACACAAAAAAATATAGGAATATAATAACTGGTAAAAAGTGTTATATGTGAGCCCCAGCTACTAACATTTTAATATAGTTTTATCATTAATGTGGATAGCAAGAAACTGTTCTTTAATGATGAAGGTAACAATTCATAATGAATAAATATAATATAGGTAATTGATAATGTAATGATCTACCCAAAATTACGCTTTCAAATGTGTGTGTACGAAATTCGATATATATAAAAAAAGAACGATAATTCCTGGGACATATTCATATGACTATTAGAATAAAAACAAAACGAAAGAAAGTGTTCGCAAAAAAAATAAGTATTGAATTCGATACGGCAAAGAGATAATTCGATGTACCTCCGCGGTAGATTACAGGTCCTTAATAGTGTTTACCAATCTCTTCGCTTCATTTTCTTTTATGAACAGTTTGCCTCCCATGGTCCAAACGTTTTTTCTACCATGTTTTCTTTGAGCTAGCTGGAACAATTCATAGTTTGATTTGGACAAATCTTCAAATATTGAAATTCCCATATTTTTCAGCAATTTCTTCGCCTGATAGACTTTGTTTCTCATCATGGTTGTAACAAAACGGACAAGTATTGTGCGAAATCCCGTCTTTGTCTTCACAGTTCCGATTCTGAATACATCATCAATGTCTGATTGGGAGCAGGAAATATTCAAATGTTTATTCAAGAATGCCAATGTCGTTTCCAAAATATCCTCTTTATCGTGCTCAGGTACTCCGCTTATTCTAAGACTGTTTTTTCTTCCCAATTGATCAACAATAGCATTGAGAGACTGAACTTCATATTCATTATCTTGTATTCTTCTCTCAACTTTGCTAACATTTTCTCCCATTCTGAGTATTTTCTGATTCAAATCTTCAAATTTCTGATCAATTTTGTTCTCCAAGGTCACAACCAGTTTCTTACAAACTTTTTCGATCAGCTTCTCTAAAAATTCTTCTGAAGGCACTAAGGGCAGTGCCTCTTGAGATTGTCTGATAACTGATGAGTCGGACAGACTGTTGGAATTGCTCCGTAACTTTTTGTCTGAGGCCTTTGACATTTTATCGCGCAAATCGTTGAAGATTATTATTCAATATCTTCACAAATTAGAGTTTTATCAACTTTATTTCTCCACGTACCTCTTCTAACGTGTGTTTCCAGGTATTGGTCGAAATCTTGAGAATTTCAAACAAGAAATTACCACTTAAAACTTGAAAATAAGCCGGAGCTCACTAAACACGTTCTACTCTATTTGCGATGTTGCCATCATAATTGATAAGAGTGGGGATGGTACCCATTGGGTTTGTTATAACAAATCCCAACGAAGTATCAGATATTTTGATAGCTATGGTAGCCTGAGACCCCCTCTTGAACTCATGAAATATTTCTACAGTGATGGTTGCTCTAAAATTATTAAGTATAATCATGATAATTTTCAATCAACAAATCCTACAATTGTGATCATCTTTGTCTCAAATTCCTATATAATGAGAACTTTACATGAATCTCATTCAGTTTAGTTCGAAAGGTCATTGGCATTCTCACTCACTGGAAATTCATCGGTTCTAAGTTTCGATTTCAATCCTCCAATACACTTGGAAGAAGATACTGACTATGGAATCGGTTTAACTGGATTCGCAACTCTCAATGTGATTCCTAACGTTGATGATTATAATAATCAATTCGTTTTTGGAGACAACAATTCCTCAGTGACAATCCCAGTAGGCTCTTATGAAATTGGGGATCTTAATGAAATCATCTCTTCACGAGTGAGAGATATTGATAAAGATGCAAGAATCAACATAACTGATTTCAACACATTAAAAGTGACAATTGACACGAATAGAAGAATAAATTTCAAAAGCGATCGAACAGTGCGAGATTTACTCGGATTCCATAGCCGTATCTTGGAAGCAAATGAACGACATACATCAGATACCAAAGTCAACATTCTAAGTGTAAATGCAATCATTATATATTGCAATATTGCTACTGGGAGCTTTCATAATGGAAAAGAAGCTCACTCACTGCTCTCGTTTTTCCCAGTCGTTGCTCCTGGATACAAGATCGTCTTGAGAGTTGAGAATATCATTTATTTCAAAATCAGTGTAGGGACTATTGATAACATAACGATCGAAATCCTAGACCAAGCAGGAAAACTGGTCAATTTTCGAGGAGAAACAATAACTGTTAGCCTTCACTTGAAAAAAATCTAACATGGTTATTAGATGCAATAGGATATCTTATTCAAATTGGTATAAGACGGCCAAGACTACAAGAAGATTCATCAGTGTGAAGAAGAATATCAAGAGAATCACACGTGCAAATCGTCTATTTCTACAGTTTCTTGGTTTGAAACTTCTGGTATAATGGACATTCTCAATATTCATCAGAAACCTTTGGTCGATCAAACCATTCAAGAAAAAGAGTATCATTCTTATCAGCCGTTTTTACAGAAATTCGAATATAATGATGAAATTAAGATATCTATACAGGAGTTAGACACGTGTACGCTGCCCTGTCAAAGTTACCTTCATATCGAAGGTCGTTTGACGAAATCCGATGGAACTGCAACCGACAAATTAAGATTCATCAATAATGCTATAAACTTCCTGTTCAGAGAAGTTAGGTATGAACTAAATGGTGTTACTATAGATTCAGTTCGGAATGTCGGAATGATATCAACAATTAAAGGTTACTTGTCATACAACACAAACGAGAGTATCGAGTTGCAAAACGCAGGATGGTTTCCCAAATTGAATTCCAAGCTCAAAGATGAGGAAATACTAGTAGATGGTACAGACAACTTCAGCGTTTGCATACCTCTGTCTTTTATAATAGGATTCTTCGAAGACTGTCGGAAGGTCATCGTGAATATGAAACAAGAATTAGAAATAATTCGTAATAAAGATGATACAGATTCAGTGTACAGTTCTGATGAAAAAAAAAAACAAAAATACAGGTAGACAAATCATTCTGGAGGGTACCACGCGTCTTGGTGAATATTCCACAACAGCTCATATACACCAAAATGGTTCAGAAAAACCAGGAAATACTCATGCCATTCCGTAGCTGGGAACTCATCGAGTTCCCGAAATTATTAACTACTACCAGACACACATGGCCAGTGAAAACCACAAATCAATTGGAAACTCCACGCCATGTCATTGTTGTATTCCAAACTGACAAGCAGGGGAAAGTGAAGTCTGACACGAGCAAATTTGATCATTGTAACTCGACAAATATTCGAGTCTTCCTGAATAGTGATCGATACCCATACAATGACTTTTATTTGAGTTTCAATGACAACAAAACTCCACAGCTATACTCGATGTTTACAAATTTCAGGCCATCTTATTACGGTTCTGGAAGAGAGCCAATATTTTCACCGAGAGTATTTGCTGAAATCATACCAATGTCACACATAGACTGTTCACATCAAAAAGAGTCCACTCAAACTGGGTCTGTTGTAATGAGAATAGAGTTTGAAATATCTGAAGCAGTACCAGATAATACAACAGCGTATTGTCTCATATTGCATGATAAGTTGTTCAATTATAGTCCTCTCACCAAAATTGTCAAACAGTTGTGAAAAACCCCCACTACAAAAATAATTATTCAAGAGGAACCACTTTAATAAAGTGTCAGTTATTACTTGAACATTGCAAGATGAAGCTGTTGAGTATCGATATTCAAGGGTACCAGATATCCAACGAATTCTACCCCGAGGAAATATCAATTTCAAATGGCTTTCAATTGAGTCACTACTTATTCAAACCAGCTATTCCCTTTGGTGCACTCCAGGAAGCGGATAAGAAACAAGTGAGGTGGTTGGAAAGTAACCACCATGGACTCAAATACAGCTCAGGGTTCATAGATTACGAGAAAATGAATGAAATATTGCTAGATCATCTCAGTGATGTTGACCTTGTATACGTGAGAGGACACCAAAAGTTTCAATTCCCCACTTCATTGTGTTTACCAACTAGTAGACCCAAAATTATCAACATCAAAAATTTAGATACATTCATGCACACGATGACTTTCAAGGCCGACATTCCTCTATGCATACATGTGCAGTTTCAGAAACTGTAAAGACTTGCACAATTGGATAAATAATCTTTTACCACAATAAAATTCTCATATGAATATTGCTAGTCAATATAATAGCCAATTTGATCAACGAATATATTCAGAAATTAAAAATTCTTAAAGAACGAATCCACATTTACGAATGTACAACAGGAATAAAAAAAACTTCATGTTGACAAACTGTTAATGGTACTCTTTGTGTACCTGCAGAGATTGCTTATTATGGAACGATGTAACACCTTTTTATTATATCGAACGAACTAAAAACAACATCATAGCATCTGTATACAGAAAATTATCAAATAAGATGAAAATATGATGAATGAAGATTGTTTCTTCAACAGCCTCCCTCAATCTGAATTCTTCATAAACATAGATGAAAAATAAACAAACTGCTCCTTTTTCAGTGGCTTAGTAAGCAAATCCGCAACATTTTCTTTAGAAGCGATATAAGCAATGTCGACATCTTGGCTAAGAATTCGTTCTCTGACATAGTGGTAGTGCACATCAATGTGCTTACTTCTCTGATGTAGAACAGGATTTACTGATAGATGGATTGTTGATTGATTGTCACACAGCAACAATGGACATACTTCTTGACCCAAATCCTTCATCAGCTGAGATATCCACATTGCTTGTCTGCAAGAGGCTGACACAGCCATATATTCAGCTTCAGTCGTTGATACTGCCACACTCTGTTGCTTTTTCGAAGACCAACATACAACTGATTCACCATAAAAAACCATGTATCCCATATAAGATCTTCGGTCATCCAAGGAGTTTGCAAATGAAGCATCGCTGTAAATTCTCAATGCAGGTGTTTTTGTTCGATTAAAAATGAGTTTTTTGTCCATAGATCCTCTCAGGTATCGAAAAAGATGATGAATCAAGTTTTGATGAATAGTAGTTGGATCAACACAAAATTGTGATAAAATATTTACGGTATACGTAATATCGGGTCTCGTTCCCAATGCTAGATACAAAGGACTGCCAATTCGAGATTGATACAATTTCTTATCTGCCCTAGAATCATTATGTTTTGCTTTCTCCAGTTTTGCTCCAGGATCCATAGGAACTGGGGAGGGTTTACATTTATGAAACTGATATTTCTCTAGTAACTGAATCAGATATCGATCTTGCGATAAAGTTAGATAGTCATCATGCCAAGTGATTTGAATAGACAGGATATATTTTGGTATTCCCAAAAAACACATCTTCGATGATCTTGATTTTTTCTTCTGATGAACCTAGCAGAAGCAAATCATCTACATAGACAGCAACAATCTGGCATCTGTCCACAGATGTGAATAAACAAGGATCTGCAACAGATTGTTTGAGCTTGATTTCCTTTAACACCATCACCAGTTTCTGATTCCATTGGCGAGGTGATTGTGTGAGACCATAAATGCTCTCATTCAATCTACACGCCCTGCCAGGTTTTTCACATAATCCTTTAGGAATTCTCATGAATACTTCCACATCAATATCTCCATTTGAAAAAGCAGTTTTGATATCCATTTTTCTCGATAGCATTTTGTTTTGTATGGCAAAAACTAATAACATTCTGATGGTTTCATACCGAACCACTGGGGAAAATGTTTCAGCAAAATCAATTCCGGGTACCTGGCTGAAACCTTGAGCCACAAGACGTGCTTTGTATCTGGAAATATCACCATTTTCTGATAGTTTCTTCTTAAACACCCATTTACTTTCCACAATTCTCTGATCAGGAGGTACTTCAACGATATCCCATACTCTATTCTTCTCCAAAGAGATGAGCTCTTCAGAAATAGCTTGTTTCCACTCATTAGCTTCAGGTCCAGATATAGCTTTCTCGAATGATATCGGTTCTTCTAAAGCTAGATTGCAAAATTCTTCGTGAAATCTTATTGGGGGAATATGTTGCCTTGCACTTCGCCGTAGAGGAATATGATTATCTGGAGTATTATTTTCTCCAGCGAAACTGTA